TAATAAAGCAATGTGATTAATTTAAAGACAGGTATAACTAGTATAATATTCAAATTGGAAAAACTACTCTGTGTGATGGAAAAAAGATAAGAAATAAAAATAATTCTCATGTGGTGTATTTTAATCTAATCTTAAAAAAATTCTGCCATCCTCCAGCAGCTATTTCTGGCTTTAAGTACTTTAAAATGTTAGTAATGAACTAAATGAAGATGTTATTACTTCTCAGATTTAATATTGTCATTCTGTAGATATCATGCAGTGACAGAAGACCCTTATAAATCTATTTTTTTCTGTATGTAAGAAAGTTCAGTTAATGTATGCTTAGTAGCTGTTGCTCACTGGACTTAGATTGGAGACTGACCACCTTTTTTTTTTTTTTTTTTTTGTAATCCTGATTTAATGGCTAAGTGTAAGGATGGGGAAGATACTTTCTTTTTTCTTGGCTGCCTTCCACTCCACCTCACATTTAGTGGAGGGAAGAAGGAGTGAAAGGAACCAGTCTGGAGAGAGGAAGAACTGAGGAGAGTAAGGGCAAATTCCAGAGAGGTTCTCATGCATAGTGAATAAGTCAAACAAAAGTAGCTCGTCACATGGAAGTTCAAACCCTTTTTATTTGAAAATAAAAATGCCATCAAATTATGTCATCTTAACCAAAACTAACAGCACTTTGTAATATTTTAGACTTTATTTACATAGCATTGAAATATTTCTTTACATTTATAACCTATAAATTTTAATAAAAACTTGTATTTTACATGATCTCAGAGGACATCTAATTCATTCTCATAATTGTACAGGATAACAACTGAGTACTCTTTAATTAAAGTGATCACCTACTTTACTGTCCAAATCTGGACACTGAGAATAAAAAGGGATGCTATTAATAATTATTGCAGGACAATAAGTATAGACTAGGAAACTAGGATTTATGAGCCCTTGATTATAAAAAGCAAAAATGAAGATTGCCAGATGGTTGACTCTCTGAAATTAATTTAATTCCTTTTTTAGTGTTTTGCCATTTTAGTGAGGAAATAAACTGGCCATTCTAATAATTGCTAGCATTTTTTGATCACTTATATGCCAGGCATTTTCTGAGCATTTCATTTGTAGAAACATAATTAGTCATCACAGTAAATCTGAAGTTGCTACTCTCCTTCATATAAAATTGATAAGCTAACTGAGGGCTAGGGTGGTTAAATTATTTGTCTAAACTCATAAAGCTAGTTGGTAAAAGAACTGGGATTCAAACTCAAGCACTTTGGACCCAGAGTCTGTGTCTTAACCACCATCTTATTATCTTGTGCCTCTAGCATTGATAGTTGTGCAGGCAAGTCTTGAATGGCAGTAATATTTGAAGGGCTAAATAGACCTCAGAAGTTTTTGGTCCTAGGGGCCATAAAGACTTGGACACTTAGGTAGGAGATTGTGAAGTCGGTGCTTAGAAATGGATACAAAATATACGGTATCGTAAATCATAAATTAATGAAATAGACTGCAGTTATGGATGACCTTCAGTGTGCTTACTAAGGTATGGGTCTTCCATTTGGTTTCAAGGAAGCAGGGATACTAACCATGTGGTGAGACTGCTGTAAGCAGTGAGGTAAAAGAAGCATCCGAGATGAGGAGTAAATGGAGGGAATGGAGGTTCATAACCATTCTTTTCACCTACATATGAACTATATATACAACCATGTCTTCAGTTTTTATTGGTATAGGGAAAGACTTACTGTTACTTTTAGGAAATACAAGGATGAAAGGGAGCTGGTTGGAATAGGGACTGGAATAGGGATGGTTTTCTAGTCAATGCAGTGAGACTCCTTGGTATATCCTACAAACTTAGCTATCACTAAACTTTTGGAGACCTCACCAAGGTTCTACCAGGATGAGACTGTGCTGAGAAATCACAGAGGAACCGTTGAACTGATTGTTCCTGGATTTCAAGTTTCCAGTAAGGTGGGAAATTATGAGATATAAAACTTGGAGAAATATACGGTCAATTCTAATATGAGTTGTGTTGGTATTTTAGGCAGGTTTTTTTTTATCCTTATGAAGAAGATATTTCTAGTTCCAATTATTTATCATTATATTGATTTGGGTGCAAACATAGATTTATTACATATATCTTTAAACTCTGACATATATCAAAATTTTTCTTTAATCATATGTGAACATATTCATTCACTTATTACTGATAATTTGCTCATCTGGGTCTCAATTATTTGTATTCATTAAACTGGCAAACTGAATCTTTATTTAGTGTTGATCAATCTTATTGAGGAACCTTTTATTGAATAGTGGTACTGTAGGCAGAAAATAATTTTAGTCTTTAAAGTACAGAGGTAGAAACATATGACAGGAAGCAAAAGGGCTCCCTGGTGGCGCAGGCAGTTGAGCGCAGCGCTGTGAAGCTGTCCGCAGCCTCTGCAGTGCTGGTTCGATCCCCGCAGGCCTTGGAGCAACCCACATGGCTAGCAGACCTCTCCTGTCTTGCTGGCTGCTCCCCTCAGCAGTGTATTTCATCAGTCTGTCTGTTTTGCTCCCTGCTTTGTCTCTGGTGAATCCTCTTACCCTCCTGCGCATCTGGCCTGTACCCTGGCTCTTGTATAAATAAAATATATCTTAAAAAAAAAAGCAAAACAAAACACAAAAAGATAGACAATTTATTCAAAAACAACATAAATAAGTACAGAGACCATAAGAGTTATTTATGTTAATTTTCAGTGCTAATAGTTTAAAAGTACATTTATCAAATATTTTTTTCTGTCCTAATCTGTTTGCATAACTATGAAATATTTTTGCAAAATGGTCAAGTATAATGTAAAATTCTAAAAGAAAAAAATTATCTTAAAAAATGAAATAACATCTTATAATTTTAGGTCATATTTAAAAACATGAAATACTTTTTGTTTTTACTAGTGAAAGAAACCCTTCAGTTTTAAACTAGAAGGGACACCAGAGGTTATCTAATTCAGTCTCCTCATAGGGTGAGCGACCAACAATCAGCATCTTACATGCTTTGCTCAAATTCCTTGGAAGCACAAACAGAACTAGAATCCTGTCCTGAAGGACAGGAAATACATATAATACAGAATGTATTCTAGAAAGCTAGTGCTGAAAAATAAAGTCAGAAATCTAATTCAGGAAAATGTAATTTTTGCTAACAAAATCACACAGTCCTGTGATATACATGAAGCACTAGCCAAAATCAAACTTCACAAATAATTCTAAATTCTAATTTTGCTTCTGTCACTGTCTTTGTGCAGTATTGGGAAGGTCACTTCACTTCAATGGCGGATACCCTATGTATATAGTAGGAAAAACAACGTTTTTATTCTCTGAGGTAGGGACAAGGCTGTGTCCTTTTTTATTTTAATGTATCAACAATTGGAAGAGATTTGAAAATTCCTTGTATGGATATACTATTACATTTTGATAAGAAACCTATAATCTAAAGTACTAACAATATTAGTTAAACAAGGCAGAAATTCTTTAAGCATAACAGTGTCTGTTTATGCCTTTGATTTAAATCTACTCTGCTAGCACTGTTTACAATAGCTAAGCTTTGGAAACAACCCAAATGCCCAAAAGTAGATGACTGGATCAAGAAGATGTGGTACATATATACCATGGAATATTACTCAGCATTCAAAAAAGATAAACACATGCAATTTGCAGCAACATGGATGGCGCTGGAAGGGATCATGCTCAGCGAAATAAGCCAAAAAGAAAAAGAAAAATACCGGATGGTCTCACTCATAGCAGGAATCTAGAAAACTTAAATAAGGGACCAGGAAAATGAATATAAGAAAGTGAAAATCAAAATCAACAAAAAACTATGAACCAGAGACACTTTTTGGGGGGTGGGGGGCGGGAGGGGAAGAATTGGGGTCAGAATGGGGCGTTTGCAATTGTATGGGGGAATATAAAAATAAAATTTAAGATTAAAAAAAAAATAAATCTACTCTGCTAGATAGACAGAATTAAAAATACACACATGTATAATATATGTATATGTTTATATATGTATGTAAATATACATAATATATGTATATATTGTATAATATGTGTATATGTATATATGTATAATATATGACCAAATTCTTGTTAGACATAAATTGTTGTAAAACTACAATAATTTTTCTGAACTTAGAAAGTCAAGTTAGATCATTCAAGCTATTTCTCCCTGAATTCATGTTTTAGCTCAATGAACTATTGCTACAGGTTACATTAGCTGGGTAATTACTGAGTCTTCATTACTTTCTGATATTACAGCAAAGTCAAATATAAGAGAGCATGAACACTGAGGATAAACTAAACAAATAGCTTAGCTGTTAATCTTGTGTACATATATTTATATATTTTAGAGTTTGAAGGTAGACTTTCATTTCAGCTTAGAGAAATAAAAATGAATGAAGACCCCAAATAATCTATTTTGGAATAATAGCTTTATTAAACACTTACATTGTAATATTAGGCATACCCCCAACCCAACCTATATTTCAACATCAGTGCAAGATTTAATTATAGACATCATTAAAATATTTGATGCTTTTTTAAAAATAGGAACTAACATTTAAGTCTACTTGACAAAGATCTGTTTGCTGCACCTCATTTGCATTGCCTATTGTACAGAATAAATAAAATACTTTTTTATTTATTAATGATATATCCATTTTAATCTTGAAGGCATAGGTCCAAGTCAAAGATATATCTTTTAAGCAGAAATGTTCCTTGCTGCTAATATGTTGGCACTTGTTTTATGGTTCTGATTTTTAACCATTAGAGGGCACATTAGTTCAAGAAAATTAAACTAAAAGTACAGCAGCAAGATGGAAATAGGCTTAGAAGTGGCAGGCAGAAAAATTTATGTATTTAACTATGCTTATTTTCACTCACTTCATTGTCATTTGCAATAATTTATCAGATTTTTTTTTAATCTGAAAAGAATTCAAGTATATATAGTTTCATGTAAGAAATAACTCTTCACTTTTTATTGCCAGCTACTACTCCTAGGAGAATGGGGTTGGCCTAGTTGAATTTGACGAGGTTGACTATTATGTGACCAAGGAGGACATAATAAATCATGGCATTTAAAAGAACATCCTGAGTTCAAAGGTATGTACGATTAGGTTATTATGAAGTAAGTAAATGCCAGTCCCTAGTCTTGTAGTTAATAAAAAAAAGGTGCCTAAGTGTGAATGAATGCAGCTCAGCAACTATGCTTCACCACAAGTATTTATAACCTTTAAAATTTGGTACAAATTATAGAGAGAACAATAGACGGCCCCAGAGTGAACACAAGGCTTTATTTCACTAGAAAGCCTTGACGGAGGTCATAAACTGCAATAGGGCAGGCTGTTCAAGTGGCTTATGAATGACTGCCGAGTCTCAGAATGAGTTCATTTGTTTTCAATCTATGGCAAACTGTTATTATTTTTAATGTTCAGTGTTTTGCTGAAAAGGTTGCAGGTTTTTAATCTGTAAAGGTTGAAATAGATACTAGCTAGTATTTAACAATAATGCTTTTATGAAGTTCAGTTGAAGGAAAACTTTAAATAATTAATGCATTAATTTATATAATAAAATTAATCAAGCACTTACATACAATTTTCAAGTTCTGGGCTGACTGTTAGGGAATAAAGACAGATTAATATATTGTCTCAGCCTGAAAATACAATTTTTTTTATTGCCTTGTGATTTACATAGAAATAAATCATCAAGTAACTACACGATAACTTTATATATTAGTGGGGGAACAAAAAAGCGATTTATCAAACCTATTACAAAATATATTTTACACTATATTTTCTAGGGAACTCAGTGGTTAAGTAAAGTCATTAGTATATACAATCTACAGTTTAAGGTTGCAGAACTGCTCTGGTAATATTTTTTTCCTAGAGTTAATTATACAATAAATTGTAGTAATTAGTAGCATAAAACAAGGTAATAATGTAATTAAAACCAAAATATTTACTTGCTATAGAAGATACTTTTATGCATCTTAATTCTGCTCCTTGCAAGCTAATAATACTCTATAGGAATTTCTGTGTGGCTTTTACATCTGGTGGTTGTGGAATTAGCATGTACAAAGAGAGCTCAGAATTATGCTTTAATTATGATTTGAATGATGATTTGAGTCTGAGCATGAGTTGTCAACAGAATTGTGAGCTGGGGGAAAAAGAGATAAGGACTGTTAGTGGGATAAAAAGTATATTTGTAGTCACTTACTTTAAAGTGCCTTTTGTTTTAAAAGAAGTAATTAATGTTAGGAATTAATTGGTTCAGATTCTTGATTTTAAAGTTATCACTTGGTTGCTGAGATGAAGCCTTTTCAAAATTACTACACGATATGCAGTGACAGGAACATTTCAGTTGAAAGGTAGAAAACATAATTGAAAAGCTAGCTTTTGAGTGCCTGCTTATCACCCTAATTGATAGCAGATGAGCCCGAGGAACTAAATGCTGTAGTCCAATAAAAAATGTAGTTAGCTGAATTTCACATTATGATGCATGGTTTTTCTAAGAGCTAAACGTTATTGCTGATATTTTGATACAATGTAGGCTTTAAGTAGAGCCTGATCAGTATGCATTAACTATTATAAAGCTACCATTAAGTCAAAATGATATGCAAAAAAAAAAAAAGGGATCTAGGTATAGTATCTAAAACCCTTTTAATGTTTGGATAACCAAATTAGATATTCATAGAATTCATAAAGCACAGCCTTAATGAATGATGTTTTAGATGTACACTTATTGACAATAGAAAGAACATTATAGAACAGACCATACAGTATGAGGCCCACTAGTATAATATAAAAGAATGTATTTAAGAATGGAAAAAATTAGAAAGGACATTCCAAATGTTAATAGTGGTCATCTTAAGCAGTGAACTTATGGGAAATTTTCTTTTTGTTAGGCATGTCTCTACTTTCCTGGTTTTTCTTCCGCAAATTTATTTAATTTTGTCATAAAAACAATATATAAGTATTCTAATCTGCCTGCTATTTAGTAGGAAAATCTTCACGTGACTTATGAATACAATTGTGTATTCTTACTATGATCCTAATATATATTTACAATTCCTATTTATTAATTTGTCCTCAATATTTGTATTAACATATTTATTATAACAGGTATTCAAATTTCAGCAAAATACAGCATAGAAAATACCTAATTTGGGGCCTCTCCTGGTGGCGCAGCGGTTGAGCGCTGAGCTGCGAGGCTGCCCGCAGCCTCTTCAGCGCTGGTTTGTTCCCCGGCCGCCGGCGAGGGTCCCACAAAAAAAAAAAAAAAAAGAAAATACCTAATTTGTCTCATATAAATAAGAAGATACTGTAAATTCAGAAATAGAAAAAATTGAGCAATGACTCTGAGTTTTAGTTTTGTGGACATAGGAGAAATGAATGTTTAGGATAGAGTAAAGGAATTATGTACAGGATGTGACCTGGGTCTACTAGAAGAACAAAAGAAAGGAAGTAGATCTAAATCATACTATATTTTGAGTCCGCACACAGAGAGGAATATGATAGAACTATTGGTAGTAATTGGATAATCACTTTATGACAGAAGGTATTACTTTTCCTTTAAAGAAGTATGGGTTAACTAGCACCCTGGCTGCTTTTTTCTATAAGATTGTTTCCCTTTGAGTAAGGAGAAAACATGGTCCAGATGATCTGCTTAAGGAGAGTTTATTTTCTTATTTCTGTTTAAAAGAGTTGCCTTTGGCAGGTATATTTTCAGGATACTGTAACTCAGACATCACATAAATGTAAGTATACAAAAATCTAACTAGAGTGGGGGTTGGAATGAAGGATAAGGAGGAATTTCTACTGATAGGGAGAGCAAAAATGATCTCTAAACTACAAACATCTAAACAAACCACACACACACACACACACACACACACACACACACACACTATGGCACATTAAGACATCTCTACTCTAGGTCAAACATGATCAAGGTGTAAAAGGAAAAGGTTGCTTTGCTAACTGGAATTAATGGCTAATCACAAGGCAAGCATTTATTAAGTAGTTGCAAGTAATAGTCAAAGTTTAAGGGGGGGTGTTAAGTTTCTGGGGAGCCTGGTATTAAAATTCTTTCTCCCCTTTCTGGTTAAACGAGATACTTTAGCCAGTGTTTTATTTTTTGTGCATCATAGGTTATTTTCATTCTGACATGTGGAAAACATCTTTTAACTACTAATGAATAATCAATTTTTATTACAATTTTATTAACATCAAGTGGTTAATCAGTCTCACAATTTTATTTAGAATGTTGGCCCAAATATCAGCTGTAATTTTTTTCAGCCCTAATGAAAATTTGTAAACCAACCATGTTTCAAATTGGTCCTTTAACCAATGAACTGATTTTCTTGAGAGAGAAAGCTTAGAAAATTTTCTAATTAGTGCTAAGACCTGATTTTCTGTGGCTCACTGCTTCATGTATTCTACTTCTTCAAATTATGCTGTAGGAAATGTCTTCAGAGGTTGGTGTTTTCTATTGATCTCTACAATTGTTCTCAGTAATTTAGAAGTTAACTGTGCAGTGATTTTTCAAGAATGCGATGGAGCCTTGCATCAGCACACACTCCTCTCCATCCAGCCAGGGGCCAGAGACCCTTGTAGCATCACTTCGCCTCCAAGCTTTAGCGTGGGACCTAAGGACTCTGACTGTCAGTTCATTTCCTCTGTGTAACTCTGCTGTTCTTTCAGCCTGCAGTTCACGCCTTAAATTTAGCCTTTTCCCTTATAAGCTGAGAAGGGATTTGTGTAGCATGAGCTTACCTGAGAAACTAAAGATCATTAATTAGAAAGGTGCTTCAGGGTAACAGCAAATTTTTCATTGGAAAGTTTTCAAATCTAAGAAAGTAATTAATTTCTCTGTGGAAGAGGATCACATTTTTCTCTACTGATGTCCTTCTCTATTGCAATTGAACAGTTTAGGGCACAAGAGAGGGAATTCAAGTCCTCTCTTATTAACCCTCACAGTTTGGCTCCCTCTTTTCTGTCTGTTTTCTTTCCTCTTCCCTATTATCACTAATGGTGACTTTTAGGGGTCTTGGGGGGACATTTTATTTTTGTGAAGAAAAGTTGAATATGTTTGAGGGCTTAACACAAGTTATTTTTCTTAATATGTGTACATTGTCAGAAGGAATTTTTAAAAATAAAAAGATTCTGTTTATTGAAAGGAAAATGACCAATTAGGAAAACTAGTCGCAGTAAAGATGATAAAGATTTGTTAAGAGGAAATGACAAATTAGGAAAAATAGCTACAATAAATTAATAAATTTGCCATTATATGTATCCATATATAAAATGTAAGAGCACTTAAAAGCTTACAAAAATAATAAAACTAAGGTTCAAATAAAAATAAGGGGAAAGAACATAATAGACATTTCAAAAAATAAATACAAGCATTAAAAGTCCATTATTATTAATAATTGAAGAAATTAATAGTGAAACAAGATATATCAGAACTCTATAATCTAATATCAAATTGCCCGAAGTTTGATCAGTGTGAAGCCCTTCAAATTGGATGGTATTTTTTTTTTGAACATGCTTTTCTCATTTTCTGGAATGCTTTCTTTTGACATAAAAAGAGATTTAAGGCTGATCTTGAACTTTTCCCACCCCAGATCTGGAATTAGCATTTCTGCAAGGAAGTCTTATTCCTATTAGTCAGGAATGGTAGTTTGAAACAGGTGAGATGTTAAGATGCTCATTGCCCTGATACCTCTTAATTTTAATCCAGACTCACAGAGTTCTTTGTTTGCTTTTGTCCATTTGATATGTGCATATCTTGTCTGCAGAGAGAACTCTGGCTTCTGGCAACATCCACACATTTACTCATCTGCTTATCCCGTCAATGCACATAAGACAGTTCAATGCACTATACCTTTACTACTCTAATGATTCCTAGATTTGTTTGCAATTTTTTTACTCTCTTGTTGATGTTCAAAAGTAACTTTGGTTATTAATTCTTTATTTCTCATATTGTGCTTATTTATTTAAAATACAGTTTGGATAACTTGTTTTTGTTTGCATTTAATTTTATGGTTTTCCCTCAGCTTTGTTTATTTTTTGATTATATAGAATATTAATATACTTCCAGAT